TGCCAAATCCATCTAGTTTTCACACAAGTGTTGATGAGCTAACACATTTGTCACACTTGTTTCAGAGATAATGGGTCACTCTGCCACTGCCCAAAAGGGTTGATTGAGATGGATGCAGAGATGAAGCTCTTGATTGCAGGATGGAAGTCACTGGACTCATGCTTTGTCCATTCAGCTGCTTGGGCTTCTACTGCCTGAATTTACTGCCCATTTACAAACCAGAAGTAACCTAAATTCACAGAATCTGACCTGCTGCAGAAAGGGTCATCTCACCTTCCAAGGTGCCCTAGTGTCCCTGAGCTATAATTTATGAGAGCTGAGACTGACTAGGCAGTCAAACTTCAGTCTTACAAGGAACAAGGCTGATTCTTCTGAAGAAGGAAACCACAGCTGTGCAGAAGTGTTAGTTAGCTTTGACAGCAGCATCCCTACTCCAAGAATCAGCCTAAAATACTGTGCAGCCCTGCTGAGTTGCTCATCGTTCAAGTAGTCAGGGGGCTGTTGTGACAATGTTACCAGTGCCCTGGTACCACTGGGGAAGTGATGCTCTCTGAATCATGTTTTGGTTTGGACCTCCACATGAACAGTTAAAATCAGTACAGGAAACAGAGTTCTGTATTGCCATATTGTCAGCAAGGCAAAACTTTTCATTAGGGAGAGAATCTCCAAGACCTTTGTGAAGCTTGAAATGACTTGTAGAAGTTTGTATTGTGTAATCACTAGGTGTTTAAATGATCAAAGGAGGATCAAAGCCGAACGCCAACCATAGATTTATATTAATGCTTTTTCAGTTCAACTACCAAACATGCAGACAAGGGATTATTAAAAAAAACACTTTCCCATTTTTCATCATGAAGTAATAAATCTGCTTGGAAGTTTTGACCACTGAAACACACTCACATCATTTACCAAGTTGCTAAAACACAAATGACCAGCTCGTGTCATAGAGACTGAGCTACAAATGGACACTGGGTGCAGTGCTGGATTTCATTCAGAGGACTCATTCAGAAAGACACATCAAATTGAAACCAGACCTACTCATCCTCTGATTACTTCTGGGAAGTGAAGTATCTTAAAAAACTATGACTTAGTGTAACTTTTTTTGTTCCACTTGTCATTTAAGTTGAATCATTCAATATGAAGTAGAACCAGGTCACACAAACAGCAGCTTCTAATATGAGTTCTGTTTTGTAGTTAAGCACTGAATGTTCTCCACTCCCACACCCAGACCATGGTCAGCTTCTCTTTGCCTTATGGAAGTCTGGGACTGACCCAGTAAAATTTCTTCATCTGCAGGGACACTAATTTTGAAATATATTTGGCCAGAACGTTTTAATGGAAAGAAGGTAAATGTGTTTGGTGAGAGCATACTGAGGTAAATTAATGTAATAAAAGCAAGCTTAGTTTTTGGCTACTCCCTTTTCCCGACAGCTAAAGAAATTTAAAAGCCTCCCACAGAAAACCTTCTGATTGCTACCTCAGAACTCAGCATAAGGAGCTGCAAAGAGTATCTTTGGAAATTAGGCCAACTGTCTATATGATCTCCATCCAATACCAAAGAGGACAGGGAAGTCTGTGTGTTAAACTGAGCCAGTTCAAAGAGGAGGTGGTGAGGGAAAAAAAAATGAAGAGTAGCAACTTACGAGGCAAATGCTGCAGTTGCAACCAGAGCTGTACTGCAGGGATCCTTACAGCAGCTGCTGCAGTCTCCACACAGCAGTCCAGCCCCAGCACTTGGACTTGTGACAGTTGTGGTGGGCAGGGCACACCCTTTCTGCAGATTCCTGAACGATAACAGAACTGTCATCACCTGCTGTTAGGAGTGCTTGACTCACTGCTCTGCTTTCGAAATACACAGCCCAACAGCTGGCTGACTTACAAGACAAAAAGAAAAATCACTATTTTTTTGTTCCTAAAAATAATACAGATTTATATGTGCATGACCTAAGACACCACCAGAAGGAAGATACATGAGTGATCAATGGAGTCCTGCAAATGCTTAAGATACCTTTATTTCAAGACATCTGAGATAATCAAGTAAGCACTGGTAGACCCTGTACCTACAGGACCTGAGCAGAATTCAGTTTGTCACTTTTCTATGTGCAGATTGTCTGAGTAGGCTCTTTACACCAACCAGAACTAACTGAAGCTTTCAGAAGAAAAGCAGGTAGCACTACTAACTTTCCTAAACAGAAAAGACCTCCACTAAAATCCTCTTAATCCCAGAAGACCTTAAAATAAAGTATATTGTGTCTTGACAGAGTTTCAGTTCAGGGAGCATAGATTAGAGAGTACAAAGTAGGGGTCACATTTTAATAGAAACCATTGTTACTTACAATAACAGAATCATACTAAAAAATAATGCACAATGAACAGTTAAAACTGCATGCACTGTAAACAGCTAACAAAGTTATTTGAAAGGCAGGCTACAATTCAGTGATTGGTGAACTGTAGTTTACTGCTCACAGAATCAGCCTTCAGAGTCAGAGAGCAAGGACAACAGTAGCTTCCAGATGCAACTGCCCCCATTGCAGGAAAGGCCCGAGAACTTAACCAGCATTCTGAGCTGCTCACTCAGAGAGCATTCTCCTCCCTCAAATTCAGTGCCATCCACTCTTGCTCGAAGATGACAAATGCCAGAGTTTTCAAGGCGAGATGTCCACAGACCATGTTCTCATCCGTGGAGGTTAACAGAGTCTTGGATGCACAGAACTTCTCAAAATCATGGCTTCTTTAGCAAGATATTCTCTTCTTCAACATCCATATTTTTACAGTCCATAGTCCCCAAACTACTGTGAAGTTGTCAAAGTGTATCATATTTTTCCATTCCATATTTTAAACTCATACCTGCCTAGCAAAACACACCAGAAAGACTTCAAGTGCAAAGGGCTTCTTCCACCTCAGGGGAGAGGATTACATGCCTAACCCAGACTCCAGCAGGATGCTCAAAACTCAAGCTGTCCAGTGGTTTTTAGCAGCCAGAGCAACAGACTGACAAAGTAGTTCACTAAATTCATTCTGGCTCATGTCAGTTTCAGTTGAAAATCCCAGGATCGACATAAGGATATGCAAGAAACTCCCCCAGTTTATTGCCTTCTGCATCGTAATGGAGCATCCGAAAACAAACATCGCAGAAGAAACAAGGATCCTCTGGTGCCAGACTGTCTCTGTTTGTCACCCACCTTCAGGTTACAAAATACAAACATGAAACATGTGAGTCCAAAGCATTTGTGACAAACATCTCAACATTTTACTCAGAGCTGGGGATGGCAGCAACAAACATCAGTAACAGTGTTATGCAGACCAGGTACTACACAGATTACACATCTCCCATGCAAGGCATACAGCTCATGTCCAAACTCCACACCCATTCAGGCCATCCCAGCTGCTACCTCACACTGCTACAGCAGCACTTCCTGAGAAACTTCTCAAACATGTAGCTGGTACAGTGAATAAAAAAAAAATTAACAGGAATCTTCTATCCACTCTGTGGCCATTTAAGTCATAAAAGATAATTCTGCTTTCCCTTAATGTAAGAAACTGTGATTTAGAGCACAAGTGTGACTGACCCAAACTACTCTGAGTAATAACCAAATCCATTTACAGGTCTAGAAGAAGGAGCTGGATGATGTTGACATGACAAGGAGAGGACTGCTACACACTCCAGCAAGCACTGATGTGAACACGAACATGAGTTAACCTGCTCAAGGAGGACCTGCCATGTCACCAAGCAATTAATTTATGATAGCTCTCAGAGGCCATGACAGCTCAAGGCCTCTAGTGATTACAGATGCTCTGCACAGATTAGAACACACAGGACAGCCAGCCAAAGCAGCTCTGCTGTCCGTGGTTTAGCATGTCCCCACTTAAGCTTAGTGCTTAATCCTGGTTTTAATTTAATGCATTTACATCACCTCTGGTAATGCCCTCCCCATCCCATCTTTCCCCCATACTGACCCTTTGGCTCCACCTCCCCTTATGGCCAAATGCCTCACAGATTACAGGCACTTGTGAAGGCATCCTGGGGGCTCTGCTAGGAACACTAGGATGGGCTCCCATCACAAGGGCAATTGGCTCTTTGCCTGATTCCAGGGAAGTCTAAGGCCAAACAAGCAAGATAACAAATACACAGCTGCTGTGTCAAACTGAGGCTAAGAGTGTAAGCTGCCCTGGGGAGAAAAAAGACCTATACAATCGGGGAGCCTAGCCTAGTCTGTAGAAGTCCTTTAGAGAAATTTCTACTGTATATTGAAAGGCTTCCTCATGTCTGAAGAGACATCACTGAAGTGTATAAAGAGCACTGAATTCACATTGTGCCCTCTTAACTGTACAAAATCTGTGCATCACAAAAAGATACTTCAAGTGCAGCTGCACAGCTCAGCATTTTCAGGTAAAGATTAGCAGTTTCCTGTGGGGAAAGTTAAGCCTTTAAAAAATCTCTAGATTTTACTGTATTCAAGTTGGATTCTGTTAGATTGAACTAGATTAAAAGCTCTGTAAGACTTCTGGTAAATGAATTTGAAACACATCTCGTGTGTAAAAGTAAGATTTTCAAAACTAATCTGTAGAGAGCTAAGCTCTAGGTATGCAACAGAACATGAGCCAAATAATTTACCTCTCCATCATTTTAGTTCTATTGAGCCTCCTGAATCATCAGCCCCAAATGAACGCTACCTGCAGGAGGCATTTTCCTGGTTAGAGAGAGGACAACTGCTTGAAGTGTGAAGATTACTATGAAATTCATACATGGCTTTGATTTTCACTTTTATTTTTTAATGTTAGTAGCAGCACCTAGAAAGACATATTTAAGAAGACAAGGAGATTGAAATGTAGCATACCTTGCTGTATACATTTTGCACACAAAGCATTTCCTAGTACATAGCCAATGTTTCTTGATTAGCAAGGGATAAAGGTTCCTGTCCAGACAGTCATCGTGATGAATGAGCCTTGAGGGAAATAGATAAATACATAACATACAATAAGGACTCTGACATAACTGGAATTTTTCTGAACATGGACACTGAAGACAGGATATGATTTCAATTCCCCTGCAAAATATGACTAGACTTCTGCTTAACATTTCTTAACACATATGAAGATATGGAGACCGACTGATAGTTGCACTATTTGTGGATTTTGTGGTCACAAGTAAATTCAGTTTGTGAAGCAGCACAGAAGACTTCGGACCATCTACCTTCTATGGTCTTTTCAAAGTTTTTATCCCCTACACAGACTATCAGGCTATCACCAGGTGAATCTTTAGAGGCTTATAATCCTGAGATCATCTGCTTGCAACATCTATGCCCTTTTTTTGGTTGTATTCCTCTTGGGAGGCACCATATATTAACAATACATCAGGCTCCTGGGAACAGAAAATGACCTGTCACCCAGTACAGACAATCGGAGGAGTGTTCTCTCCACCCATTATGCACTGAGTAGAGCACACACTGCAGTTCTACTGTTGATGTGCTGCCACATCACAGTCACTACCATCTTCTCCTTCCCTTCCTGGCCTATCCACCTCAATCCACTACTCTGACTCCTCTGTTCTCTTTTCAGTTCCTTCCCTGTAACTTCAAGTTCAAACTAACTAGTCCAAAGAACTAGACTCCCAAAGAACAGTAACTTACCTTATATCTGTGATTATAATGATGTGTTCACAGTTCCCTTGGTGGCAGAAAAGGTATGGAAAGCCAATTTTGATGGACAAATCATTAAATGTGTAGTCCTCCATTTTAACAGACTGAAGATTTCTATAGCCTCTGTCATGGGATTCTGACCACTCTATAATTGTTCTGAAAACAGAAAGGCACAGCAATGCTATCAACTCTGAAGGCACAGAAAAGGGTATCTTGGGGGACATCCAAAACTTTTCACTGAGACACTGGAAATCAAAGCAGTTCACAACATTCTGTACTAATTTAAGGTGATTTCACAGCAATACCACAACCCCACAGAACTGTGAACTGCTCCTGCAGAACACTTGCTTCTAAATCCACACCTGGCATCTTCCTGAGGAGCTCTAGTCAGTGTATGCTCCTCATGGCACCCATCTAGGTCAGGTTGCTTGCAGCACAACACTTCTCAAGCAGTCCAGTAATTCAAGTTACAAGCAGCTCATTTTGCTCCCTTGATCAATAACTTCTTTTTAAAATGTCATGGTTTAACCCCAGCAGCAGCCAAGGTAGGGTAGTCTCTAGCTTGTGCATACTGCTAAATACTGCCTATTTAGGGTGTTAATGCTGCTCCATTGGTCTTTCACCCTGCCCAGAGGCATCCTTGGGTGGGGGAAAGGACCTCCCTCTCCCTCTGGGCAAAAGGGTTATGGTTGAGTCCCACCAGCTGATGAGATAGCCCCTTCCAGGAGAGCAGGGCCCCAGCACAAGTAATGGTTCCTTGGGAAGACAAACACCATCACTCCAGATGTCCCCCCTTCCTCCTTCTTCCTCCCACCTTATATACTGAGCATGATGTCCTATGGTATGGAATATCCCTTTGGTCAGTTTGGGTCACCTGTCCCAGCTGTGTCTCCTCCCAATCTCCCATGTACCCCCAACTTCCTTGCCAGCGTAGCAGTACAGAACGCAGTAAAGGCCTTGGCTATGTGTAAGCTCTGATCAGCAATAACAAAAACATCTCTCCATTATCAACTCTGTGTTCTGCACAAAACCCAAACATAGCCCCATTCTAGCCACTGTGAAGAAAGTTAACTCTACTACAGCCCAAACCAGCACATAAAAGTATTAAAAGTCTTTTTGTTGTTGTTGTTTGGTTTGTTTGTTTTGGGCTTGTTTGGTTGGTTTTCTGTTGGCTTTTGTGGTCTGGTTTGGGTTTGTTGTTTTGTTTTTGTTAAGGAGAAACACTAAGTTGACAACTTGCACAGTTACATTTCCAAAATTTATCACTGGAAAGTCACTAGTCATTGTAAATTATTTTTTGGCTTTTCAGCACACTCCTACATACAAGGCATTTCACTTCTACAAGCTGTGTATGTTAGCACAAGTTATTCCATGAAAATCATTGTTGCCCACAGGCAGAAAGAGAACAAGTAAAATAATTATTTCCCTGAAGCCACACACTCACAGCTCTTTCATACCAGTCATTTTAAACATCTTGATCTCCAAAACCTCACTAGTGTGTCAGCAAGCCCATACTTCCTTAAAATCTCAGATTTATTCTCTCAACACACAGTCCCCAAGCTGACTTTACCATTGAAGGCATGCAGCACATTTTCAAGACTGAGCAGAACAACCAACTTCCACACAGCTAAGCTTGTTGTCTTCCTGACCCATCTGCTACCTCACAGACAAGTCTTTTGATGGTCATCACAACTAGGGAGGGCACTTGAAAAGCCAGTACAAACTGGCACCTGTCACCCTCCTCAGCAATCCCATCCCAACAGAGCAAAACAGGATTTGCAGGGCAAAAAATTAATTCATACCCTTTTCAGAAGGGAAGTGAGTGGAAGGAATAAGCTGAGCAAGTACAGATAAATATCAACATAAAAATCAATTCAACATGGAAATATGGTACAAGAAATCCATTCCACCTTCATGTTCTAGACATTCCAATACTTACAACACCACAAGTCATAAACAAAATTAAATACATTTCCCGTCCTTTGAGGGTTTCCTTAGTCAACATCTACAAATACTGTACCTGCTCAGATCTCTGCACTCTGAGTATCTTCTATCATTATAGAAGATGCCTTCAAAATAAAAGAAAGCAGATTTGTAGAGATCCTGAGAAAGAGAGAAACCTGCATTAGTGGTTTGAGAGGTTAAACACCTTACACAAGAACACATTGAAAAAACAAGCATTTTAGGTATCTAAATTATACTGAGACCTCATTCTACAGTTTCCTAAGAAAAGTTCTGCACTGATTTTAGATGCTGATGTGACAACTAGGCTTATATGATTGCCAGCTATGCAGCTGCTCTGCTGATATTGTTCTCAAGCCATAACAGGTTATTTTTGTCCCCATCACAGCAGTGATGGATTTCTGCAGAAACACAGAACGAGACCATAAGCATCACTGCACAAATTGAGCAGCTGCACAGCACAGATTTTTAAAAAGACTAATAATATTCCAAAAATTTAGCAACATGTAGTGGGTTGAACTTGGCCAGCCACCCGATACCCACCCAGCTGCTCCCTCACCTCCCTTCCCCAACAGGTCTGGGGAAAGAAAGTAAGACAGGTCTGTGGGTTGAACTCAAGGCAGTTTAATGAGAAAAGCAAAGGTGCATGCAGCATAAAAGCAAGAAAAGGATATTTATTCTCTACATTCCAGCAGCAGGCAATGGTCAGGCATTGGAATAAGCTGCTTGGGGAAGCAGTGGAATTGCCATCCCTGGGAATGTTGAAAAGGTGTGTAGATGTGGCACCTGTGGATAGGGATTAGTGGGAAACATGGTGGTACTAAGCTAATGGTTAGCACATCTTCTGGAGTTGAGCTGGATTCTGGTGACTCTCACATGACTGGTACGAGTGCCATAAATTGTCGGTTAGCTTTGGTAGAGGAGAACGGTACAAATGGACTGTCTGCATATCACCAACTTCATAATTCAGAGAGAATTTCAAAGGATGCTAGAGACCCTAGAATTGAAGTGACTGGGCCTTCCAAAATTGTGTATCTTGCCAGATGTCACCAGGGACTGCTCCTGTGTGGTACTTATGTGTGTGTACATGTGCATGCAGGGGACAGGACTACAGTAATTCTCTGCTGTTTCAGGAAAAAGAATTTGTGTCCTGATCAGATGCACTGGGTCTGGCTGGGATGGAGTTACCTTTGTGGCCCTTGTAGAGGGTTCTGCATTTTTGTCTAGGTGGAGTTGGCAACACACCAGTCTTTTGCTTGAGTGATGCTTGCATACCCTCAAGGCTGTCTCCTCCTATCTCCCCAAGGCCAGTGGACTGGGATTGGGCAAGAAGCTGAAAGGGAATATAGCTGGGACAGGTGACCCAAACTGGGCCAAAGGATATCTCATGCCATATGATGCTGTGCTCAGCAATAAGAGCTGGAGGAAAAGAGGAGAGGGCCATTCATGGTAAAAGCATTTATCTTCCAAAGCAACCACTATGCATGCTGAGGCCCTGCTTCCCAAGAAGCAGTTGGACACCGCATCATTAAGGTTGGAAAAGACCTCTAAGACCATCAAGTCCAACCATTAACCCAGCACTGCCATGTTCACCATTAAAACAAATTCCCAAGCATCACATCCATGCATTTTCTGAACACCACCAGGGATGGCAATTTCATCACTTCCCTGTGCAGTCTGTTCCCAAGCCTGACTACCCATTTCAGTGAAGAAATGTTTCCTACTATTCAATCTAAACCTTTCCTAGCACAACTGGAGGCCACTTCCTCTTATCCTGACTCTTGTCACCTGGGAGAAGAGAACCAACTCCCACCTAGCTACAACTTCCTTTCAGGTAGTAGTAGTGAGCAGTAAGGTTTCCCCTGAGCCTCCTTCTCTCCAGGCTAAACACCCTCAGCCACTCTTCATAGGACTTGACAAAGATTTACCCATTTAACTGTAAATGGGAAAGCCTTGGGCAACTAGGCACTCTGGATCCCCAGACCAGTCTGGTGATGCTCATTTGTGACCAGAGGTCTCTTTGAGCTATTAACTCTAGGGGGTCAAAACACAGGAAAAGCAGACACCAGGGCCAGAGACAAGATCTTAACTGCAGACAACTTGCATGAAGACACAGTGGTAGGAATGTGTTTTACATTCAGACTATTTGATGCATTTCTGTCTGTCACTGTTACCTTCCCTGTCTGTCCAGCCACAAAGTTTAAGTACTGCCATGCTCTGGCACGTTCTTATCAACTTTTGTGGGTCACAGCAGTTCTGAGTTAGCCAGTCCTTTAAACCTGGTCCAAACTTTAGAAAACAGCTGTTTGTCATAGCGAACAGAAGGCCAAGGCAACCACTGTTATAAACTCTTCAGGAAGTCAAGTCAAGTCTTTCCTTATTAATGCTGGCCAGAGGTATGACTCAGACATTCTTTCCTCCAAGACCTTGCATTATCCTTCAGTTTGCAAGGAGGGGTGCCCTATTATGTTTCTCTAGGGAATCCCAACAGTAATTAGTAGTAACCATGTAACAGTTCCAGGAACCATTTAAAAATTATCTTTATCTGTGGATTAAAATACATCAGTATTGCCTAGTTCTCTTAACTATCCCCCGATCTTGGTTTGACTAAGGTGTTGTTTACAAAACCCAAGCCAAACAAAGTAAAGGGATAGAATAGAGTAGTTCGGTTGGACAGGACCTACAGTGATTATCTAGTCCAACCACCTGAGCATTTCAGGGCTGACCAAAAGCTGAAGATTGTTATTAAGGGCATGGTACAAATGCCTCTTAAACACTGACAGGCCTGGGGCATCCTGGGCCAGTGTTTGACCACCTTGTTGGTAAAGAAATTCTTCCTAATGTCCAGTCTGAACTTCCTCTGGTGCAGCTTTAAACCAGTGCTATGTGTCCTGTAAAGAGATAGCAGGGATGAAGAGTAGAGATCCCTGTCTACTTCCCCTCCTTCAGCAGCTGTAGAGAGCAATGAGGTCACCCTTTAGTCTCCTTTTCTCCAAACCAGACAAACCCAAAGTCCTATAAAAGATTCCTTGCAGCCCTTTCACCTCCTGTGGATAGGTCATAGTCTCCTTTTCTCCAAACCAGACAAACCCAAAGTCCTATAAAAGATTCCTTGCAGCCCTTTCACCTCCTGTGGATGCATGCAGGTACCCTCACATCCTTCACAAATTGTGTGGCCCTAGTCTCCTTTTCTCCAAACCAGACAAACCCAAAGTCCTATAAAAGATTCCTTGCAGCCCTTTCACCTCCTGTGGATGCATGCAGGTACCCTCACATCCTTCACAAATTGTGTGGCCCAGCACTGCACACAGGCCTCAGGGTGAGGCTGCACCAACGCTGAACACAGCAGGATGGTCCCCTCTCTCGGCTGCCTGGTGATGCTGTGTCTGATGTACCCCAGGAAGGGTCTGCCCTCCTGGCTGCCAGGGCACTGCTGACTCACACTGAGCTGCTGCTGACCAGCACCCCCAGCT